AAAATAATAGAAAACTTATCGAAAATATCCGTCTTATATTTCTTTGACTTTCTGATGTAGACGACCTTTACTTGAAAGGTATTTCTCGTATATCTTCTTTTGCAAACTTTATCATTGCGCTTAGCACCTCACATAAATATCAATGAATAGTCTCTGTGGAGTGTTGAAATCTCCGTTTGACCATTCTAAAACGTTATAATAACCAATACTCGTAAAATATAGCCATTTTCTCCTCGAAGAAGACATTCTTACTATTTTGCAACCATTTTTTTTAATGTTTGAATACGAGAAAGCCGCATCAATTCAACATATTGAGTATTCGATCCGCCTAAGAATTCTAATGTATATGCATGTCCAATTATGGCAAAAGTGTTATCTCTTATCCGTTCTATTCTTGATGAAAGCTTGTATTTCCAATACCAATAGATGATCAAAACTAACAAAAGTTCTTCCTCAAAGTCCATGTATTACCTTGAAAGTAGCATACGTTACAAACACATGAGAAGCACATATATTAAACACAAAAACAACATAACAAATTCTCCCAAAAACAAACACATATCATTTTAAATGGTCATGAAAAAATATATGTTCTTAAAAACAAACACATCATTTTAGTCGAGTCCAAAACACGAAGTTTAATTTGAAAAGCAAATCTTCCCAAAACCAAAAATTAATCCAAACTCAACAACTAAAGTAGTCCATACTTACGTGGCGTAAGTTTAATCCAACCCTTACATTTCTCTGACTGTAAACGCATCCACATTTTCTATAGTCGGCACTTTCGCCTAAAACAAATAATGATATTCGTTAGGTTTTAAAACTTTTTCTAACCATTTAAACGCAATGGGAAATTATTTATTTTGGTTACAAAATAAAATCATAAAACTTTTCTAATTAAAACTCAATCAGATCCAATGATGCATTTAATTAAAATCATACATCATAGGGTGTTTGAAATTGTACTTTTCAGAATTTAGCAAGGTTTGGACGCAACACTTAGAAATCAAAACAAGATTCTTTTATCCATGATCCACATACGAATACGCCTAGATCTTCCATCGGGTGCTAGCCCAATAACCCTATATCTATATGTGTATTACAAAAAAGAAAATGTTTCTTTTTTATATAATTTTTGAAAGGCTGTATCTAATCAATTCAATCAGTTAAAACTGATATAGTATATCACCTTATTTATATAGTTTGAATTATCGATAGACTACAATTTAAAATAAGGTTTAGTAATTATATGTAATATATATATGCAATAATATATATATATATATATATATAGAGAGAGAGAGAGAGAGAGAGAGAGAGAAGAGGGATAAAATAAAAATCAAGCATTTAGTACAAACCGTGAAAACCTCATTCAACCAATCATAGGTTTTGTCCAACACCTTGTCCCTTGGAGAAATATATGTGACTATGGCTGCACCTAGTGCACTTTCAACTTGGGCTATGACCAGACTTCACAGTGATCTTTATTTATCACTAGTTCCCTGGTAATAATCGATCAAGAACAATTTTAAATAATGTGATCATCGTATTTATTTAAGGATACTTAAACATGCTAATAATGAGCAAATAAATGTTTAATGTAAATACTCATGTCCAATAAAAACAATATAAACATAATCGTTTTATTGTTCAAATAAAGTTTTACCAAAATTACAGATCAAATCAAAGTTCAACAAAAACTTCAAGCCTATTGCACTAGGATGAGCAACATGCTTGCTCTGACTCATACGCTTTGAGAGAGGATCTACAATTTTGTAATCGAATATGCTATTGTGCATTTGTGCTTGTAGCTTTTACAGCTCACAACACCGTTGTTTAGCACAAACACGTATCTGACTACGATTTAAAGTCATCTTGGCGGTTTGAAAAGTAGCATCTGTATACTTTTGGATACACATATCACTTTCCTAATTGTCGTACAGTAAGAACATATCCTTATTTTTTCCCATATACTTTAGGATATTCTTCCCTATTATCCTAGGTTTGACTAATACTACTGGTCATGCTTCGGGCATACAAGATGTCCGGTGTTTGTACTTAACACAATATACATGATAGAAACCAATGGCCGAAACGTAGGGAGCACCCTTCATACAGTTCATGTCCCCTTTAGTACTAGGACACTAAGGTAGCATTTAGTATGCATACATGATTGGGTAGAACAGAGCTGGACGGTAATGGATAGGACAAGAGAGTAGGTCTGGACAGGACTGGCAGAACAAGTGTATGTTTGGTGTTTGATATGACTAGGACTAGACAGTACAAAACTAGACAAGTTGTCCTCAAAAGTTATTTTATGATTATATATATATATATATATATCATATAATAGTTATTATTAACAAAATAAATTAAATAATTTAATATAAATATTTTTACACAATTTTCATATACATAAATATAAAATAGTACCAAATTTGAATGAATTTTTTTATATAATTGAAGGTAGTTTGAAAAAACTTGATTCATACAAAGGATAAATTATATTTTATTCGGTTTGGAAGATCCTTATCAATTGGTGAAGGCAAGGTGAAGATTTTTGCAACAACAATGGTTGTGGAGGTAGAAGCATTGGTAATTGGTGGACGATGGTGGTTGTGGAGGACATGAAGATGGTGGATAGTGGTGGTGGTGGCAATCAACAGTGTTGGATGAGGTAGTTATGGCCTATGTGGTGGAGGTAGGTGTGATGGTGGGCAGTGATGGTGGTTATGGTGGAGGTGGTGGTAGCCGACGATACTAATAGTGGTGAGATGGACAGTGTGGTGGTTGTGGAGGATGTGAATATGGTAGATAGTAGTAACCAATAGTGGTGGCCAACGGTGGTAGTGGTAGCCGATGGTGGTAGAAAGTGGTAGTCGATGGTGGTGTTTACGGTGGAGATGAGGTGGCCATGTTAGTGGAGATAAACGGTGTTGGTCGGAGGTCGACGATGGTTGTGAAGGTGGTGGAGGAGGTTATAGTAGAGGAAAATGTGGAGGTGACCAACGGTGGTAGTGGTGGTCGCAGCACACAGTGGTGATCGACGGCCGACGATGGTTGTTAAGGTGGTGGAGGAGGTTGTTGTAGTAGAAGAGAAGGGAGATGGCCAACATTGGTAGTGGCAATGGACGGTGGTGGTCGGTGGTCAATGGTGGTTGTGGAGGTGGCTGATGGTGGCTACCAGTGGTGGCGGCAGCCGCAACTAGCGGTGGTGACTACTAAAACAAATATCATATTAATGTTATATATCAAACGAGGGTTAATAAGTAATATTTTTAATTTATGTCTCATTTTTGTCTCATCTTGTATAAGAAAAAAAATATTTTTTTTGTCCGTCGTTTAGGGATGGTGATTTGTCCCGACCCGGTGGGGAACCCGGTTCACCCGACCCGAACGGGGACGGGGATTCCCCACTAAAACGGGTCCTGGGGCCGGGAATCCCCAGTAGACACAAACCGGGGACGGGGGATGTTACTCAAATCGGGGACGGGGCCGGGGCCAGAGATCCCCGGTAGAATCAATAAAAAGGATACTATTTACGGGGTTTGACCGGGGTTTGACCAGGGACTGTTAGAGATTTGACCGGTGACGGGATAATAATCCCCGTACCCACCGGGGATCGGGGCCGGGGGACGTTACTACAAACCGGGGCCGGGGCCGGGGACGGGGATTACAAATCCGCCCCATCCCCGCCCCGTTGCCATGCCTATCCTCGTCGTCCCAGTTTTTGTCTTTGTCCCACGTTGCACCAAAGATGGGAATGGGATGGTGAGTTCCTTGTCTTGTCTCATGTCATGCCAAACACGGGACAATGAGTTTTGTCCCTTCCTGTCCTGTTATGTCTCATGTACCAAACGCAGCCAAAAGATCAATTAAGAATCATTTATATCCAATGAAACCTGAAAAAATGGATGAAAATATAAAATCCGATTTAAGCAAATAAAACTAGGGTTGTCCCAATTTTCTTGGAGGTCATGTTATATCCATACTAAAACTATACACTATCTGGAAAAAAATATAAACAAAATAAATATAAAGGTTTATATCTTATTAAAGTTATTACAGATGATAACAACAAAAAATGTTTAAAATGACAAAATGAAAAGAATAAAGAAGAGTTAATTATATTTTGTTCTTAATCGACAAATTCTAAAATTAATTAGATGGATTCATAAATCTATATAGTTGAGTATTGTCCAACAAATTGTTTATCAATAACTGAAGAATATGAACTTTTTACGTATGATCATCACGAATTAAATTATAATCAAATTGCTTTGGGTCGGTTACCAATGTCAGTAATTGACGATTACACAATTCGAACAATTTTAAATTTGCCTGAAATAAAAAGTTAAGAAAAATTCCTGATTAATGACCCATTTTGATCTAAAAAATGAGGATTTTTGTTTGGTGAATAACTACAATTAATAAGGAGCTGTTTGGCAATTGTTGAATGGTTTGGTGCAAAATGATTAAGTGGTCAGAATGATTAAGAGACTGATATAGTAAAAAAATGAAATATAATTGTTTGGTAATTGTGTACGATGAAATTAGGGCTCTTAATGGTTAAGGGAGATCCAAAATACAAAATCATTCAGAGAGTTTTAGAACCATTAAGAGACAGACTTTTTTGCCAAACAAGATTCACCTCTTAACAATTCAAATATTGCCTTTTAATATAACTATTAAAAGGTAAACAAACAACCCTACGATCCCAAACATAAATTAGGCCACGAAATTTTGAAGTTGCTCTCCATAAACCCATTTTTAGCATGCTAATAGTCAATAGACGTCATACGGCACTGAATAAAACTGATACATACATGAAAAAAAAAAACGGATATAAGAACAATCATTTTCTTCATAATGATTAAATGTAAAATATTAGAAATTACAATTATATAAGTAGACCTAATTTTGCATTTCTTTTTCCTAGTTAGACGACGTCGTTCTACATGTGGTTAGCAATAATCTAGTATAAAATTAAAAAAAAACATTCAAGAAAAATTAGGCAAGTAATTATGATGCATCCAAATAGTAGAAACTGCTAAAGCCAAAGTCACACATGCAGGCCATATCACCACATTCTTCAACATTCTCCATGATCCTTGTTCCTTTTTCATCTTTATTGCATCATCTTCTTCATAATTATCTGCCATTGATGGATATATGCAACATATTAAGAGCAAAGAAACCAGGTTCGTGAGTGGGTTCGTCGTTGTCTCCTTGCTGTTGCTCTTATTGATCACCTTTGAAGAACCTGCAACAGTTTCGAACGAATTTTTGTATTGCTTTGTTTCATGTGTTGCCAATGTTCCTGGGTTCACTTGGATCTTCACTGTTTGTGATGGCACCATCCTGTGAAAGTATGTGTCCGAAACCTGTCGTGTTGAGACCAGTAGACCATGACTGATTTCGGTTTTCTCGTAAGTTTCCAAGGTTGGATTATTGGTCGAGAAATCACAGTCGTCTAAGAAGTTGTCGTGAAGATCGTTCTGATTTTGGTTAAGGAGTTCGAGTGAGAAATGGTCGTCTGTGTTGTTGGTGAAGTTGTTGTTATGAAGGTTTTCTTCTGCAACTGGATTAAATCTCTTTTTACCAACAAATTTGAAGAAACGGGTTCTTGTACTATAACAAAATAAGGTTTATAGGATGCTAAAAATGTCTAAGTATCTTAATAGACTGTTTTATAAGATTTAAGTTTCTATAACGCTTGTAAAAACATTACAATAAATCTATAAAACGTTTATGTAAAACACTTTTGAAACCATGTACGTGTCCTATTACTTCTTTTATATGACACTATTATGTCCTATAAAAGGATGTTCATAGGACCCGTATAGTAAACCATTCAAATGTCGTTTATTTTAAAAATTTCCTAAAAACTAGTTAAAAAATTGAAAAACGTCATATAAACTTATTGCAATATTTTTACAAAGTATGTACAATTGTTTGATGGTATGAATTTAAATTCTATCAAACAGTCTATTATGACAGTTGAACATTTTTGGTATCCTATAAACCTTTTTGTTTTAGTATTGTTAGCTAAAGTAATGAAAATGTAGAGCTTATTTAGAGGGTAACCAAGGCTTAGTGAGTTGTACCTTGAACCTCTTGTTCCTCCCTCTGAAAACTTGATGTATTTTCCACTGTAACACTCTTGTAATCATCCAAGAAGGCCTGTGGGTATCAACAAATATAGGCAAGTGTAAGGACGTTGAACATTCACACACACACACATACATACATACATATATATATATATATATATATATATAAAAAGGGAGGATCAAAACGTAATTGTTAACTATTTAAGATAATATGAAAATGGTTAAATTATGTACAAGATTACATGTGACTTTCCATTAAAGGCCAAAAAAAGGTGTGTGGACGACTTTGGCCGTGACTTCAAGTCACGGGACAAAGTCGCATGAATCACATGACTTTGTACGTGATATTAGTGTAAAATCAGGTTCGTCCATTTTCTTATTTTATTAAATAGGTATTGTCCTCGTTTGAAACCGTCTCTCTCTATATATAATTTTTTGATATAATGCAAATTCTAACTTCATATATTACAATTAAAAAAAAGTCAAATATGTCTAAATTTTTGAATAGACTGTTTTATAGGACTTATGTTTATAAATTATTAGAATAAATAATTGTGTTATAATAGGATGTTATAATGTATTTGTGCATTCTAACAAGTTTTTAGGATAGTTTTGAAATAAAAATACCGTATTAGTTTTTTATATGACATGTTTAAGAGTGTGTTATAAACACAATCTTTTTATATGACATTGTTTTTATAAGACAAAATCTTTAAATAATGTCATATAAAATGATTAATTGACGTTTTTTTATAAAATTATTCTAAAAAACTTGTTAAAAATATGAAAGTGTCATATAAACTTGTTGTAACACATATGGTATACAATTGTTTGTTTTTATAAATTTAAGTAATAATATTATACAGTCTATTAGAACATTTGGACATTATAAAAAAAAGTTTTCTAAAACCAACTTTGTTGTAGTATGCACGAAGCTTACGACTTTGATCGATCTGCAACATATTTTACGGCATGGTCTATTTTCTCAAACAATTAGATTAGAATACGGAAAAGATGTTATTATGTGCATACCATTTCAAGATCCTTGGTCGACATCCCGACCCATCTCAAATTCTCCACCATCCGGTCGGGTTCCATTTGTTCATCGAGACCACCAATCTCGATCGACCTTGCATTTTGATCGTCTCCCATGAACCTAAACGAGCCCACATCTTGCATTTGATTGCTATTGTTAGCCAGAAACGAAAAATCGTTATCATTTCCAGCTGCAAAACTTCCAACCCATTCATCCTGATTGATAGAAACTTGAGCCACCGAAAGGATTTCGTGCAACAGATCCTGCTGAGAACCCATCGTTGGTCCGTTGCTTGATTGTGGTACGTTCTCGATATAGTTAGACGTGCCGTGGTGTCGAAAATCTTGTACCTGCAATGGAGGTAACGATAACCTATGCTGCAACCTTGCACACTCCAAAGTTATATCAACCTGATCATTCAAAAACAAAATGGTAGCATTTTTAAAGACTGTTAAAATATTTACACTATGACAAAAAAGTTGTGGCTGCATATGTACACACCGGCAAACCCCCCACCTCCAAATCCATCACTGTGTATCTATACGTGCTAACATCATATCCTATTGAGAATACCTCGTATAGGATGTACAATTATTTAGTCCTATAAACTTGTGTCATATCACTACAACAAAATTGGCTTTATAGGACGTATATATTGTCTAATCGTCCTAATAGAATATTTTATAGAACTTATGTTTGTACAATGTTCTAAAAAACGCGTCATGGTGTCGAGGCGCAGCCTTGCCACCACGTTAACCCTCTTAGTGTTGATATAGGTGCGAGCCATGGCTCGTTATGGCGTTATAAGACATGAGAGGAAATTTGCAAATTTTAAAATTTGAATAAGAGTAAATGTAAATATAATTTTATAGTTTATACGAGGCAAATATTTAATTAACAAAATGGAGAAAAAGAAAAAACCGTAAATTACTTCTCGGCATACGAAAAATATTGTTCGATTACTTTCATTTGTTGTTCTTTGATTTCATTATTTTGATTTTGTTGTTTGATTACCAAACATAGACCGTAATAGTGACTTACTTTGTATATTTGATATCATTTTTATTTAACTCTGTATATTTGATATCAAATTATCATAATGGTTCTTCTTTTATTTATCTTTTTATGTGAATTTAAATTCTTAATAACTTAATAATTAGTTCAATGACATAAATACACACACACACACACACACACACACATATATATATATATATATATATATTCAGGGCCGGCCCTGAGATTTTGGATGCCCACGGCGGAAGTAAAAAAAATGCCCCTTATACGTGTAAATAAAAACCAAAATAAACTATTTGAAGGGTTTTGGAACCTAGTCAATCTAACAAAAAAGTGCCCCTTAAATATAACAAAAATGATGCAACGGGGGGGACATAAACCAAAACCCCGTGTAACAAAAGATAAAGTGCACCACGGGATGACATAAACCAAAACCCCGTGTAACAAAAGATAAAGTACATCACCATTCACCTAAAACGATGTCTTCTTGCATTTTTTGAAGCAAAAATATCTATCACTTTGTCATAACTAATATTAGCTAAAAACTTACTCTCAATACTCAAGATTGCTAGTCCGTTCAATCTTTCTTGACTCATGGTAGACCGTAAATATGACTTAAACAGTAAAACAACCCAACAAACCACAATCAAAGAATCACAATTCACAGCTTCTAAGCACTAAAGTTTCATATTTTCATTATTAGGTTTTCCAATCAAACAACTTTAAATTTATTAAAAATAAAGTTAATAAAATAACCAAATAAGTACTATAATAAATTAATAACATAGGTTAAAGATTTAAATGTTAAATCCCTAACCTCAATGTCAATGGCTCAAGAGAGAGCAGAGAGGGCGATGGGTGAGAGCAGAGCGGGCGATGGGCGAGAGCCGAGAGCGACCGGCGAGTCGGCGACTGAGGCAGCCGCAAACGGTAGACGGCAGAAGGCCGTCGATACTCGAGAGTCGAGAGAGGCAGAGAGAGAGCGTCGAGCGAGAGCGAAAGCTTGCGAAAGGATTTCGATTTCTGGATTTCGATTTCTGTTGCGAGAGCGAGAGGCGAGAGCGAGGGACTGATTGAGGATGAATCGATGATGGATATGGACCGGTAAGTGGAAATGTGGAATGGACTCTTAATAAAGGCTAACAGTAATATTTTTTAAGGCCCAAATACAAACTGAACCTAGTATATACATTGGGCTTAAAAAATTTTGATGCCCTTAACATTTTTGATGCCCTGGGCCGTCGCCCCTTTGGCCTAGGCCCAGGGCCGGCCCTGTATATATTTGTCGTCTTAAGCCACCCCATGGAAAATGTCATGGTCTTGTCGTAACTCGTATGACTTGAGGCTTGATCTCGCCGTCACGCCATACCTCACGCCATTTGGAATCTTGGGTTTATAGGACCAAACTATAAAAATGTATTATCTAAAATCGTTACAATAGATTTATAGGACGCTTTTAGACGTTCTAAAAAGTTATTTTACGATGTTTATACATTTTAGACGTCATACAAACTTTGTTATAGTATATAAAGCAGTCTATTAAAATATTTAGATATACAGTATGCAATAAAACCAATTTTTGTATATGTACCTTTGATGGTGGATAAGGAAGATTGCCACAGTTGGGAAAGGATGGATTTGTGAAGGTGAATGCATCTTCTGATAAGTACTGAGTCCATTTGACATCACTTCTATCACTAATTATACCATTTGATCCATGGATGATTGTAGAAGCCATTGGTGGTGTTGGATAATTGCAAGTCTCCATATCTTCACCTCCTCTTCCTCCGTCGGAATAAAGATCGATACATGACGAATGATCACTAGCTGCGGTTGCATAACGGTCTCCCGTGGTGGTCGCCTTTGGAGCGTTCAAGCTCTTCTTGAACACTCGACAAAGCGAATAAGCATCCTGCAACTTTTAGTTACAAAAAAGTCGACTAATTAAGGGTTGTTTCACAACACAAACTAGGTTACCATTTTTCAGTAAGATTCTGAGTCATCAAAATAGCATAATATGATTAAATGTCTCTTGTTTGGCAAGTGCTAATCGGATCAGTTAAGGTTCTTGGTTAGCAAAGTGATGCAATAAGATTGCTGTTAAAAATGACACTACAACAAAATTGGGTTTACAAGACACCCAATATATATATATATATATATATATACACACATTATAATAGATTGTTTTATAGAACCAAATAATAGTACACATCCTATGTAAAAGAGTTGTCATAATTTTATAGGACGTTTTTTGTGATTTTAGTTTTATAGGACCCGATATTAATTTTTTACAGAACACTTGTTTTTATAAAACATTTTTTTTTAAATAATCTCATATAAGAAAACTAAATGTGACACTTTATTTCAAAAACATTCTAAAATATGTTACATGATTAAAAACAACATATACTCATATGAACTTATTATAACCCTTTTACATATGTTACACTATAAACTTAAATCGTATAGAATAATCTATTAAAAAACTTAGACATTTTTAACATCATATAAATCTAATTTTGTTGTAGGATCATTATTTCTTACCATGTAAAAGTATCCTATCCGGTAAGAAATGATAAGTTTTTAATTACCCCGTAAGAGATGGTAAGTATTTAATACACAACCATTAAAAGTATGTAAGCGAATCTAGTGATTCGTCCATAAAAACACGTTTCAACGAAATTTAAAAATAACGAGTTGCGTACCTGTAAGCCAGATGCGGTTTCACATTCTCTTTCATCAAGACGATATTCATGCATAACCCAGTCGGTACGAGAACCATGGGGTGCTCTCCCTCGGTAGTAAACTAGGGTTTTCTTCATCCCCATGGCTCGTGATTGTGAGTTTACTTTCCGATCCTTCCCTGTTGCCTTCCAGTACCCACTTTTCGTGGCACGATTTGTCCTTGATCCATTTGGGTATTTACGATCTCTTGGACTAAAGAAATACCATTCTAAGTCTTTGCTTGGTAACAACGATTTCCCTAACAAGATTTCAAAATCTCAATTAGAAGAATACTGAAATAAAAACACAACCACAAAAGCATATATATATATATATATATAGAGAGAGAGAGAGAGAGAGAGAGAAAGGGGGGAGGATTATGTGAGAAGTTAACCAACTTACGAGTAAACGAGAAGTTCAAAAATCATATTTGATTACACGTGATAAACAAATTTAATTATATATGATTATATACACCTAAAGGAGATGCATATGACTTGGTTAAGTTATGTGTTATCAATGCAAGATGTGTTTAATCATTATACGATTAAGCGTAGGTATCATGGATGTGTGTAATTATATATGATATCGAATTTAGTTGGGTTCCTGATGTATATGTATATATGAGTTGGGTTCTTGATGTATATGTATATGTATATATGAGTTGGGTTCCTATGGGACCACCTTGTTTTCTTGAGATGGATTGTAAAGAGAATGTTCATATGTGAATGATTGAAAAAATTAATTTGAAAATACATATATGAATAATTTATAGTTAACATGGGTTCACATATTTATGTTCAAAATAGATTTTTTTTTATGCTTTCAGTAATTCACATATTAACCTTTTCTTCACAACTCCTTTAACGAGTCTAACGAAAACATGATGGTTTCAATTCGCATGATCTTCATATTCTCTCTCTCTATACATACATACATACATATATATACATACATATATATATATATATCACATATATACCACAGCTAGATTGATTGAAATGATTTAAACTTGTGTTAAATTTATGAGATGAATGATGAAAATACATGATTTAAGGAAAGAAGTAATAAAGAAAGAAAAAGTTGTGATCATCTGTGTCTTTGAAAGAACAAATAAAATGCGGTCAAGTTCTTTTCTCTTTGCTTTTTTGACTTCAATCTTTTTGTGACCTAATTGCCGCTTCATTTTGTGTTCTAATAGCAACCAAAAAGAGATTGGACCACCCTTAATTAATTCCCTTTAATTTTATGCTTAAGCAAAATATTAAATAAATAAATATTGTAAATCAATATCATCAACTCCGTCATATTTTATCATAATAACAACAAATATATAATAAAACGAGTCGCGCGTTAAAACTTTTTTGGAAATATTGCGACGTTCATATATAGGGTACATAATATTTTTAGGAGATTCTAATTAAATCATTGAGCTTCTGGTTGATGAGTACGGAGCCCCTTTTTTTCTTTAATTAATAGATCAGATGTCAAAGATTCAATTAAAATCTCGTTTAAGGTTATATGCTTAAATGACCAAAAATAGAGTCATCTTCAATTCGTAACTCTGAAGATCTTTGACCTAGAAGTGTTTGATGTTTCGCCTTGACCTAAAAATGGAGGTTTTGAATATGGAAAAAACATATAATGATGATGAACAAAGTTGAAGCATTGGTAAAGAAGATTGAGGCGAGGTGTAATATCACCTTTAGATATAAAGATGAAAATGGAAAGAATAAAATGAAACACCCTTTGGATGGAATCTGATCAATTCCCTACACTTATATACTTGAGGCCACATTCATTCATAAATTGCTTTTTTTCTTTTTAAAGTTACGTTGTGAGTTTTACGTAATAAATAAGAAGATGGACGTCAAAACTGCAGACTTAGTGATCAAGGTTTGTTTAAGTTGTTTTTCGAAATAATTTACAATTTGCTATGAAGAAAATGTTACATAAGTATGAATTGAAAGGTACCTGGTAAATCCCAGGGTTCGCACTTGTAGAGATCAACCTCAGGGATAACTTGGAGCTCGATTTCATGGCCGTTAATTTTCCGTTTGAGATAGTAAGCAACAAGTTCTTCATCGGTGGGATGAAACCGGAAACCGGGAGGCAAAGATACTGGTGCCATTGATGTTTATTGATATCCAAGTTATTCTTGAATTATAAGCAGACAGAAAATGGGAAGAAAAACAGATTTTCCAGCCAATCTTGTTGTACCCAGAAAGAAACACAGGCTATAGAAGCAAGAACACTGCATATATATATATATATATAACAATTTTATATGATTAGCCTTCAAATCTTTGTAAGTCTATAGTATTTACAGACACATATAAAGAAAGATATAGATACATATATATATATATATATAGAGAGAGAGAGAGAGAGAGAGGAGGGACCTGAGGGGAAGATGGAAGAAGATGCAAAGGGAGGGAGAGAGGAGCAGGAGGGGAAATTGAGGGAGAAAAAGCAAGTAGGGTTGGAACACCACTTTATCTTTAAATAAATTTGTTTTTTCCCATCACCATGATGCTTTCTTTATTTGCTCTTTCTTCTCTTCTCTTCTCTTCTCTTCTCAACCGCCTCTCTCTTTTTCTCTTTATTATCAATCTCTCTCCTCTCCATTTCATAGGGTTCGAATAAACGTATGGTTTATGAATGGTAAAACCGATTAAGGTTTTTTTATTTTAAACCCTTCTAGTTGGTTTAGGTAGTTTTTTGGGTTAAAAGGACGTAGATAATCAGTTTTTAGATGGTTGATAAAGTTAAGGGATTTAATAATTTCAAATGAAAAAGTTTAAAGTTTTTTCATTAAAAAAAAAAACAGAATAAGAACTTAATCATTCAAAATGAAAAAAATTGGAGTATTCTGGACTTTCACGTTGGTTACGTACATTCTTTTACCCTAAAAATATATATGTAACTGGTTATGAAGGTTTTAGAATATATAAAAAAAAACTTAGATTAATTTACCATACCCAAACCCTATGACATTCAAACCCCTCGCATCCACCCCGGCCACCCCTCGTCGCCCCATCATCATGCACTCTCCATCACCGCCCTTGCCCCTGGCATTGATCTTCATCTTTTTTGATATTTTTTATCTTTTTGGATTCTTCTTCTTTTTTCATCTGTCTAAACGTATTCCCTTAAATTATTGGAAAAGGAGGAGGATCGAAAGACAAAAAGGTATATAAAAATGAGCGAGATCGATGCAAGGACTAACGACGACGATGGTGTTGAGTGCAAGGGGTTTTAAGTAAGGTTTGTGAACGGTAGAATTGATATAGTTTTTTTTTTAAACCTTACTAGCTTGTTACAGGTAGTTTTTTGGGTTGAAATAATATACGTAACCAATATTTAAAAGTTCAATGGTTTTTTTAATCAAAAAAAGTTCACTGACTTAATCATTCAAAATGAAAAAGTTCAATGATTTATTTATTCAAAAAAAGTTTTGAGACTGAGAGACCGTTTACTAAGCTCTTACTAGATAAGCAATTACCGGTGTCACTTACCTTACGGAGTGAGCATGGCAGAGACAAAATCTTGCTGGTAAGAGGCATAGTACTTACCCGGTAAAAAATGTTTATCAACATTCCAATTGATGGTCCAAAATGTTACCTAATATGGTACGTGTTGCCAGTAAGAACATACTTGATAAGCGTTTGATAAATGACATATTAGTCATTTAAAATTAGTAATTTCAAATGTTTTGTTTATTCAAAATAAAGTTTAGGGATTTAATCATTAAAAATAAAAAAGTTTATTAAGTTTTTTTTAACATTTCCCACAAATTTAATCTAATTTATTCATTTAAATAAGAAAATCATTAGATTTTTCTTAATTTTTCGATTCTAAAAATTTAATGATTTATTTATTTAAACAGAAAAAACTTTAGATAATTACGAATTCAAAATTAAAGAAATTAATAAAGTATTTTTAGTTTTAAAAAAAAACTTAATGAGTTGATTAAGACATTTGTGTTAAATCTGCATGCAAGTTGGAAAAAAAAAAAAAGGGAGGTAGGATGCAATGCATGGTGGGAAATGGTTGTCTTATTTGCATGTCCAAAGTCCAATGATACTATACTTGGAAGCTGTCCTTTCTCGTAATTTGCACTGACTCAATTCCACCCTACTTTAACCATATCAACGGTTTTTTTTTTTTTTTGGCGGCGTTCTTAACGGTTAAAGAACCTTTCTTTTCACATGCACCCCACTTCATTCCATTTCTCTCACCGACAATACCTCATTAAATTTATTCAACAAAATCTACTATATCTATATATATATCCATATAATAAAACATACAATTATATAATAAAGATTTGAATTTTCGTTAATGAAAATTATGATGAGGAGGTGAAAACACACTTCAGTATATATATCTATAAATCCTAATAAATAAGTAACTTTTGAGACACGTGTTATGTTTCTGTGAGACGGTTATTGATTTTTTCTGTCTAAACATGTATCTAGACACAATTTTCATTTATGGTTCAAATAGGTCTATTTAAGAAATATTTGTCCCTTTGGACGGTTAATTTCATGTATTCGTGGTATAACCGCCTTCGTAGAGTAATTGGCGGTTCAGAGTTCCAAAATCTGGAGTCCTCCTTTCCAGATTTAGAGACTCGTCTAACGATTTCGCCTCCAAATTTAGAAGTAGGAGACTCAGAGGTCTCTGCATATACTATGCAGAGGCTCTGTGTCTGGAGTGAAGCTTTGCATGTACTATGCAGAGGCTCTGTATCTGGAATGAGGCTTTGTATGTACTATGCAAAGACTATGTGTCTGGAGTGAAGCTCTGCATGTACTGTGCAGAGGCTTTGCATGTACTATGCAGAGGCTCTGTGTCTGGAGTGAAGCTCTGCATGTACTACGCAGAGGCTTTGCATGTACTATGCAGAGGCTCTATGTCTGGAGTGAAGCTCTGCATGTACTATGCAGAGGCTCTGTGTCTGGAATGAAAATTTGCATCAAACACTTAACCTTTTTGGCGTTTAAGCCTTGATCTTCCTTGGAATACAGCACGGGCTCTGTATATGAGACACTTAACTCTTGAGTAAGAGCTTTGTCTCTTAATGTCTTCTACATGAGAACTCTTGGAAAATTTAGAGTTCTAAGTCTGAATTTAACTCTGGAGTACTGGTCATCAAAACTCTATTTAAAATTTAAAATTCGGATTTTTGAAACATTTTTCATAGAAGTTTTTCTCATTTAAAATACCCCGTGTAATACACGGGGTCGAACCTAGTATGTGTATATATATATATATATATATTAAACAACAAGAATTTATTCTAACCAAACAAACTAGCGAGAAGCTAGAAGTATACGAGAACAAGGGAACGTCCTAAACTAATTCTAAAGGATTACATCGCCACTTCTCCCAAGTAATGGCCTCCCCCATTCTGATTCTATTTTTAACCCACAAAAATGAGATGGAAATCACCTCGGAAGCGATGATGCTGGACGGAGACCCTTTATTGTTTAAGATTGGTGAATTATGAAGTTGCCAAATGGACCATTAATAAGCAGTGATGACTGCTCCCAAGATCGAGACCTTGGCGATTCTTGAGTTAATGTCACCTGTCACATCTGGTAAATTAGGAAGGGAACCAACCGTAAAGGGAAACTTGTTGCACTAGGAAAAGATCAACATCCTGATTTCTTTGTTGTAAGAGATGGTCTTACGATTCAGGCGCAAAGTGACAAAGTGGACACAGGGGAGTTGAGCCTAATACCTCTTCTGATTAGGTTTAATTTAGTCGGTGATCTGTCCAATCTTGTCCTCCAAAGCAATATATATATATATATATATATATTATGTGAGAAACGTAATAAATGATTTGGACCTTGATCGACTTTAATCTCAAACTCACTAATGAATTGCACTTGATACGGGGATTGATTCGGTGCATATCATATCGGTACATCTATCCTAATATGCATCTAAGGGTAGAGATCTATTCTTAAGCTTTTCACATTAACTTTCTTTCTTAACGGAACCTAACCCTATATATTAATAGGCGAAGGACGTGTAAAAAGGAAAGTTGCGGTGAGAAGCATAAGAACGGATTTCCACCCTTGATCACTTTTAATTTTATACCCACTCATGAATTGCGCTTTAAAAGAGAGTGATCTAGTGCATCACGGTGCATCCCATTAGTGTTGACATTCAATTAGGATTGATCAAAGGATGGAGATCTCTTCTTACGCTTCTCACCATAACTTCTCTTCTTACCGGAACCCAACCCTATATTCATATACCTTAATCTATATTCAAATACCTTATATATTTTGTCATTATGACCGAAATTTTAACAATTTCATGTATGTGAAAGTGATTAAATATATATATATATATATATATATAAAAGTTCATGAAAATAACTCAAAAATAAATCTTATACATCAATCAAATGCAAAAAAGCTAGACTCTACTATACAAGATTGGTCAATAAACAAGGACAAATACTTTAGAACCTTTATAAAATTAATAAGATGAATTATAAAATATTGGTATTTGTCACATCTCTAAACTAAAACATAATTAATGATACCTCATATATATATATATATATATATATATAAATTGATATGGTTTTCAGTTTTAATTATATTTATGCATTTATATTTGTAAATAAAATAGACACTTTAGTGTATTATAATTAGCATTTGTTATAGCTTTGAACTATAAGTGAATCATGGTTAATTTCTAATTCGATATTAACGTATTTGATTTGAGAAAAGAAAATACATATTAGAACTAATTTTAAATGCATAAAAGATAATCAATTTCACAAGATTATTCAACATTCGAGAGTTTGAATTACGAAATCTACAAATTTAACGTTTGTTTAATTCATGTGAATGAGTCATTTAAAGGTATCTGATACCATACATATTAAAATAAGCACATAAATAATAATTATTAACTGTGATACGAGAACATTACATCAAAATGAATATCTACTTTGTTTTGGTTTTTATTACCTACTTTCCAAAGCTCCATTTCTTAAAATATGTATTTGATGCAATTAATTAAATGGAACCAACGCATCTAATGTAATTACCAAAACACATTATGACTTTCTAAATAAATAATTTTTTTTAAAAAAATCTA